ATTATTAAATAATTTCCTATATGATTACAATAAAAATCGAAAATAATTCACGTTTTTTTTTTTTTTTAAGTTAGTTTTTAACAAAGTGTTGTTTCACTTTAAAAAATAATTAAATTCGATGAAAATAAAATTTAAAGTTAAATAAAAAAAAAAAAAAAACGGAAAAATTTATACGAAAATTCATTTTCTGTCGTTAATTTTTTTTTTTTTTAAACGTTTTTCGGTCTATATATAAACCCAATAAATGGCCGCCGCACATAAACCTAATTATAAACAACTCAAAATAATTTTTTAAATTAATTCAAACGCTTGTTTTTTTTTTTTTTTTTTTTTTTTTTCTTTTTCCCGGTTTCCCTTTTTTCAAGGAAGGGGAGCCCCGATTTACAAAAAAAAAAAAAAAAATTGAAAAAGGTAAATAAAAAACTCGCGAAAACAAATCAAAGTGGGAAATTATAATAATTATTTAAGTTTTAATAATAATAATAAAAATCGATACATCAGGTGTTATTGATGTAAAAAAAAAAAAAAAAAAGAAAATTTGAGACGGTAAATAATGCAAATATCAATTGCGATTCTGTTGAAATAAATTTATTATCGATTCGCCAACGTAATCGATAAATCAATATCGAATATTATTAAAATAAAAAAAAAATTATAGAGGGATTTGAAAAAATTTTATTATTTATCTTTATTTCCTTAAATAAATATACGCATTAAATTTATTCTCATAAAACTAACCTATAACCCCCACCCACCCCCATTCAATAAAAAAAAATTAACCCAAATAAAAAATAAAAAAAAATTTAAAAACCCGATAAGCGCTTTTTTCGAAAAATTTTCCCCGTAAAATTCTTTTTATTTTATTTTTCCTCGATCGGAAAATAATAAAAAAAAATAAAATTTTTGTGCACGAACCTAATCCTCGCACAATTTATTTAATTTTTCAAATATTGAGATTAAGTGCCGAAATTAGAAATCATTTACATTTAAATTAAAGCTTTTTTTTAAAAATGAAACAAAACAACAACAACAAGGAGAAGAAGATGATGAAGAAGAAAAAGAAAGCCAAGGATTTTAATTTAAAAAATACATTCAATTACCCTCTTCTAACAATTCTCTCGCAATAAAATTAGAAGGCCATGTTGTTGTTGTTGTTGTTGTTTTTTCTATTTTTCCTCCTCCTTGAATTCAAAAAAAAAAAAAAAAAAAAAAACAGACAGAAACGACTTAAATAAATAAATTCGAATAATTATATTTTAATAATTAAAAACAACTCGATAAAGGAAAAGAAAAAAAAAACAAAAAAAAGATTTTATATATTTTTTTTAATGTCGACCATCGAGTTCTTAAAATTAAAGAAAATCATGTTTTTTGTTGTCGAAATTGTTACGAAATCAAATATAAATTATTTACCAAACACACGAATAGAAAATCGGATTTAATACTTGATATCTCGTCTCTCTCCCTTTTTATTTATTTGTAAACAATCGAATAATAATAATAATGTGAAATCATTTCATTTTCAAATTTTGTAGTTAAAATCAAACAACTTCAACTTGTAGCATGACTTCATTTTCCAAGACGTACAACACAAATGATTTTTTTCAATAAAACCATATTAATATTTTCTCATATTCGAAAAGTTAAATGATGAAAGCGCGAGGAAAAAAATTAAATTAAATTTTTTTTTAATTGAATTTTTATGATAGAAAAGTGGGAAAAGACGGCGAAGAAAGCGAGAAAAACTTTAAAAAGTCGGAAGCTATAAAAAAATAAAAATAAAAAAAAGAGAAAAAATTATAAGCGTACACGTTTACAACACTTACTTCTCTCATTTTGAACACATGTGTACTACACCTTTGTTAAAACACAAAAAAAAAAAAAAAAAAAACCAAAACCCTGATTTAATTATCGTTATGTAAAAGTTTACAATATAATAACCTACAATTACTTTACAATTTTTTTTTTTTTTTTTTATTTCAACTGTTTCGCTGTTGCAAGTAATGGTCGTCGTAATTAATGTACAAAATTACAAGTATTTGTACAGTTGTCAACCCTTCCTTTTTTTTTTTGCCAGATTTTTGAATTAAACGAGTGCGCGCGCCTCAAAAAACTAGTATTTCCCGTAATACAAAAAAAAATGAAAAAAAAATTACGTATCTAAAAAGTGTACGTACTCAAAGCATTGCTGACACGTCGTTTCAATAATAATAATAATAAAGATAATATAAAAAAAAAAAATTGAAGTTGAAAAAGTTTTTTTCGTTTTGTGGTAGTACACGCACGTCGAGACAAAATGACTACATATATATATATTTTATATTAAATTGTTATTGAAAATCAAAACCGTGAATGCAAACATAAAGCACAATATCATAAAGAGGAAGAAAATACCACGAGGAAAAACCCTCCGGGAAAATAATGAAAAGAAGTGAAATGAACAAAAATATGGAAAACCGAAAAACGTCAAAACCTCATCAAACTCGGCATTGAATTTGAACTGAAAGCTCGAGCTCAATAAAGGAATTTTCCGCAGAGGAAAATTATTATTATTATTATTATTAACAAAAGAAACCGAAATACAAAAATTTAACTTAATAATCACATAATATTTTTTTTTATTTTTTTATTTTCGGGGAGTAAAGGGGGAGGGGAGAAGGGGGCGGGGGAGAATGAAAAAAGAAAAGCTTAAGTCAGCGTTTTCGTTCATGTAAAAATTTTAATAATTTTTTTAATAATTATTAAATAAAAACAAAATAACAAAAAAAAAACAAAAAACTTAATTAAAATATTTTTTTTCATTATCTTATTTTTTGTCGTTTTGAAATAAAAGTTGGAGGAAAATTTTCCCCCCCCCCCTTCCACTCTCCCCGTTCGAAAAAATTATTTTTATCATCATCATCATCATCATTATTATTTTTGTAGTTTAAAACTTTACAAATAATAATAACAATAATAAAAACAAAACGAAAATTTTTAAAACGATATACATATATTTATTAGATTGAATGAGACAACGAATCTTATTAAAATAATAATAATAATAATAATAATAATAATAATAATAATAATAATAATAATAATAATAATGATAATAATGATAATAATAATGATAAACAATTTTTGATTACAATGAAAAACGCAACGAAAAATATTTGAAATTTTTTTTTATTTTTACCCTTTGACGATAGGTAATATAAAATGATGATGATGATGATGATGATAATAAAAAAGAATTTTGATTGAAACGTTTTTCGAATAGATTTGAATAATAATAATAATAATAATAATAATAATAATAATAATAATAATAATAATAAACTTTAAAAAGAAAATATTATTACAAAAAAAAAAGAATAATAATAATGATACGAAACAAAAATCAATTTTCCTATTTTTTTTTTTAAAAAAAAAAAAACAACACAATATTACTTTTTATTTGGCCTTCTCTTTCATTCATTTATTCATTCCCTCATCCCTCTCACCTCCCCCCTCCTCTCTCTCTCTCTCTCTCTCTCTCTCTATTATCTTTCCCATCCTCCCTCAAAACCGATATTTTTTTTTTAATGTTGTTCTCTTTAAACATTTCGATCTTGACGCTAACTTTTACATATTCATTTTATAAAAACGAATGAGAAAAATAACAACAAAATTTGAATAATTTGGGTAAAATGCAATTTCAAATCAATTATCTATCTCTCCTTTGTTTAAAATTTTCTTTTAAGCTTTAAGCTTTATTTTTTTTTCTTCTTCTTCTTTTATCGTCCCTTTTTTTCGTTTTTTCACGAAATGTTTCAAAACAAAAATTAACAAATAATAAAAACCAATATGGCGGGAAAAAAAAAAAAAAAACAAACCGTAACGTTACTTATCATTATTATTTTTTCAAACTTTAAAAAATAATTTTTAAAAGTTAAATCCGTGTAAATCAACAAACTCTAAATTTTTCTTTATTCCTTCAACCATCATTAATTTAGGTTACACAAAAAAAAATGAAAAGGAAAAAAGAGTAATCAATAAAATAAGGACAAAACAAAAAAATAAAAATAAATAAATAAATAAATATTACGATTTTTGTCGATTTCATTTATATAAAACCAATAATTAAAACTCGTTTTAACAACAACGAATAAAATTTTTAAAAAAAAGAAAAAAAGAAATAAAGAAAGAAAACAAATTTTTGATAATAGGTCAAAGCCAAAATATTTATTTTAGGTCAAATACAAAAAAAAAAAAAAAAATTGCATTGTCGTTCTCCTCAAAAAAATTGTTTGTTTATTTATCACCCTATAATAATTATAACTGCGGTGCATTTTAGTGGGCTATAAAAAAATTTTTTTTTCTTTATTGTCGTTAAAAAAAAAAAAAATAGGATCAATCACTTTGCGACCTAAAAAAACAAAAAAAAACCGAAAAAGACAAAAAAAATAAAATTTTTTTATGGCAGCACACTTTGGAAAAATTTTCATACTTAAAATTATTTTTTAAAAATTCGATTCCCCCCAACAAAGCAACAAAGAAAAAAGGTCGTTAATCATTTCGACTAAATTTTCGACGATTGTAAAAATAATCTATTAAACGAAACAAAAAATTAAAAAAAAAATATTTCGTCTGCTGCTAATATTTGTTTATTTTCATTACGACAGATAATAACGATATTATTATTAAACATATGACAGACAGAACGTATAAAAAAAAAAAAAAAAAAAAAAAAAACAATTTTAAGCTTCTCTCAAACAATATTTTATTACGCTTTAATAAACAAATAAACAAACCAAAAAAATGAATTTGAATTCAAACGTGGGGGGCGGGGGAAATTCTTTTGGTAAAAAGATAGTAAAAGCACTCAAGATGAAATTAGTTTTAAACCAAAAAAACCCATTGAAATCATGTCGTTTGAAAAAAAAAAAAAATAGGATTTGATAAAAATAAAAACAAAGCAAAAGGATAAAACATAATGAGTAAGACAGAGAGAGAAATAGAGAAAAAAACAAACTTACCTAAAATTTGATTGAAAATTTTATCAAAGTTAACTTCGCCCTTTTTTTCCAGGTACTTGTGCATAACGCTTCGCACGCTAAAAACAGAAAAAAGTACATAAATAATTTATTATTATTATTATTATTATTATTATTATTATTATTATTATTATTATTATTATTATTATTATTACTAATAAATAAAAAAATTAATAAAATTTTTTTAAATTGTTGATAAATTTAATTTAAAATTTATTAATCATCGAGACCTTCGGTCTAATAACCGAAAAATTACACGAACAAAATTTTATTTCTGAGTAAAAAAATATAAAAACTTGAAATTTGAACTTTAATTAAATCTCAAATGCAGGTTAAAGTTCTGACAAAAAAAAAAAAAATTTTGTTATAGCAAACAATGAAAAGTTTTATAATATTTATATAAGGTATAAAATAAATCCATTGATTTTTTTTTATTATTTTTTTTTGGCAGAATTGGTTTCATTTAACAAAATCGATGGTAAATTTTATGAGAATTTTTTTTTTTTTTTTAACGGTTTCTTCTTATTTAATATAAACAAAAAAATTTAAAAATTTATTTAGGTGAACTATTTTAATAATCCCCACAAACAAACAAACGCAAAAAAAATTCAAAATATTAATCCATGGTTTTTTTACTCACGAGAAAAAATTATACTAAAAACTATCCCTGAACATTTTGATATAAAAAAACAAAAAAAACTTACATCACATAAGAGGGGAGAGGGGAAAGAGGGGGGGGAGGGAAACAATTGTTTCCTTAATAATTTACAAATCTAAAAAAAAAAACTATCATAGATCATCTCTTCAATTTAAATGAGTGAAATAATAAAAAAAAAAAAGGCCGATTTAATATTAACATATAAAATATGAAAAAAAAAAAAAAAAATTAACATTTTTAAATTATTCGTCTGCTTTTTGTATAAATAAATAAAAAATAATAATAATAATAATTCAAATGTAAATGTAAATAATAATACGCATTTTGATTTTTTAATTCTTTTTTTATTATTAAACACTTTATAATTTTAAAATTTCTAAACTTTTTTTTTAAATATCTCCAAGCTAATAAATAAAATATTTTTTAAAAACTAAAAGAAATAAGAATACCAAAAAAAAGGAAAAAAGGAAAAAATTTACAAAGGTTTTGTGAACTTTTTTCCTTTTCACTTTTTTTTTTTTTTTAAAAAATACTTTTGGAAAAGAAAAAAAAAGGTTTTGTATTTCTCTATACAAATATGTGCGTTATAATTTCCTTTTCCTTTTTAAAACTATACATTTACGAATGTAGCACGATTTTAAATATAAATTTAATTTAAAATATTTCGAATAATGATAATAATAATAAATGGTTTTTTGAACCGCATGTAATAAAATTTTTATTTATTTATTTTTTTTTCCCCCCTAGAAATTGGATTTTATAAAATTAAACCAAAGGATTATTAATAACTTAAACAATTTTAAAATAAATTGAAGGGTCAACAACAACAACAATAAAAAAAATAAATATATTGTTTTCATAATATAAAATAAAACGAACAAATTATTAAAAAAAAAAAAAAAATACGTCAGAATATCATCATTGGGTATGACGCAGATTAAATTTAATACAAAAACTAATTCCCCTCCTCCTCCTCCTCCCCTCCCCTCCTTCTCCTTCCTCCTCCCTAACTTTTTTTGTATTCTTCAATCAATACAAAAGTTACATCTTTATTTATTTATTTATTTATTGTTTGTTATTTGTTTGTTCAAATAAGAAAAATAAAAAATAAAAAAAAACCATTATTATTAATTTATATTTATTGAACGTATAAATAAATAAAATTTTTATTTTATTTTATAAAAAAAAAAAATTAAAATTCTAAACGTTTCCAAAATAAAAATTTGAGCTTTTCTTTTGTTTTTTGTTTTTCCTTTTTACTTTTTCATTTTTTTTTATTAAAACTTTTGTGACGAAATCTGTCGTTGAAATAAAATAAAAATAAAAAACAACAGGAAAAGGAAAAAGAAAAAAACGAATAAGAAATCCCCCCCCCCAAAAAAAAAAAAAAGTCTTTAAAAATTTTTTAAAATATTGATTGAAAACAACATTTTCAATTTCGACGGGGGGGAGTAAAAAAAATTTTTCCTTTCTAAATTTTAATATATAAATTTTTCAATACATAAAAGTTTAAAACAAAAACAAAAATTTATTTCGTTTTTCTCCTTTCTCCCATTTTTTTTTTCGTTTTGTTTTTGACCTTTTTTTTCCCTTTTCCTTCCCCTCCACCTTCGTTTTGTATATTTTTCGCATGTAGAAAATTCCTAACAAATAAATAAATAAATAAAACCTAATCTGAAAACATATTTTTTTTCTTTTTTTTCCCTCTTACTCTTATAAATTCTATTGGAAGAAAAAGAAAAACAAATGAAAAAAAAAATTTCCCAAGAGTCAAAATTAATAAATGTATTGATCAAAACAAAAAAAATTTTTTTTTTTAATACTTTTTGTTTTCCTAAACCAGTTATAAGAAAAAGAAAAAAGTTTTAATAGTTGTAAAAACTTTATAACAAATTATCGGATATTCCACACACAATGGTAAATTAAAAAATTAATTAACCTTTTTTTTTTTCTTTTCTTTTCTTTTACTTTTCTTTTACTTTTTTTTTTTTTTTTTTTATTAAAAAGTTTTTATAATTTTAAAAGCAAAATTATTATTATTATTATCATCATTCATATTATTACGGTTTTCTTTTTTTTATCAGTATTAGTATTAATAAAAAATTCAAATTCGTTAAAAGCAAAAAAAAAAAGAAAATTTTTTATTAAAAAGAATTTTCTTCTGAACTAAAATTCAAATCAAAAAGCAGAAAAATAAATAAATAAATAATTTTTGACATTTTAATAAATAATTAAAACCCCCAAATTAAAGTTTAACAAAAAAAAAAACAACAACAACAACAACAAAAACAAAAACTAATATTTTCATTCAAAAAAAAAAAACAAGAATTAAATGACCTTATTATCAAATCGGGGGGTGGGAGGTGTCTGCGGGGGGAAAATTAACATTATTAACATTCGATTACGTGAGAAATTTTCAATAAAA